TTATAAAAAATTATTTTTTTTACATTTTGTCAAATTTCTCGAATACCAACCATTTTAAGAAAATTTTGCATAAAACAAAAATTATAGATAATTATATTAGAAGTAACTTTTATTTGAAGAATTTTCTTCTCCAACCGTAAATAACAGATATATTCTATAAAATATAAAAATGACCACCTATAAAGTACCCCCCCAGATGTTCCGACACTGCCCAAAATCTAATCAGCTCATTGGACGCTGAAACAAAGCTTAAGTTTAAAATTTGGTGTTTTGCTGTGTATCGGTTCATGAGTTATGCGTTATACAGACACACACACACACTGACACACACACAGACATCATCGCGAAAATAGTCAAAACGGATTCAGGGGACCTCAAAACGTAAAAATCCGTCGAAAACTCGAGGTCGAAAAAAATCATGATTCCTATACTTTCCTTATATCTGTATACAGATAGGAAAGTAAAAATATGTGTAAATTATATCTATTCCAAAAATTATTCAAAAACTACCCCTAATAGAAATGTATACTTCCCCACGGGTATTTACTTGGATAGAGCGATAGGCGTAATCCGCAACAATGGCTCAGGGGGTTCTAAATTGTCCTAATAAAGACATCGGTTATCATAAAGGGTCCAAACAATATAAGTAATGTCTTTAGCCAGTGCTGAGTGGAGATTAGAGAGGGAAAAAATAATATGCGGTCTGCAACCAGGTAAAGTAAACAATACTGTTTACTTGTATGGTAAAAGATAGGGGAAGAGTGCAAGTGATATATAGGGTGTTTCATCAAAAAAAAAAAAAAAGTAAAGGTAACTTTGGATAAGCAAATTAGACTATGAAGATTTATAAAGAAAATGATGCATTCATTTTGGTAAGACTAACCGGAAAATTGTTCTTTTACTTTGATAGCGTAAAATATTGCTAACTTTTAAGGCGCATGGTTGGAAATATTTCAAAAAGTTGTAATGGTTTTTATGGAAAAAAAGCAGAACATTTCTGTGTGAGGATTCCTAGAATATAACACTAACTGACAGTTGCAAGAACTATTGTTAAAATCTCTCATTAGCTAATAAACCCACAGCTTTTTCAAATGATAGTATGAAGTAAAGTATGACAATTATGGAGATACGTCCTTATCAAGAATTATTTCTGTCTTTGTCAAATATAATTATATTTGAAAATACGCAAAGCAAAGAAATTCTAAGAAGATTTAACACTGTAAAAAATTTGATTTTACGATGGAAAATATATTATAATGGAACAACAATTATTTTCATTAACTATTTAGATATTAAATCATAGAGGGTATTTAACATCTTGAATGTGATAATTTTCATGAACAAAAATAAATATAGATACTAAAAATATTAAATATTTTTTATTGTTTAAAATGTTTCTGTTTAGGCACAAGGAATGTCTTCAAGATGGAATGCAGCTATTACTATGAAACTTTTTTTTATTAAAAAGGCATCCAAAAATGTGATTTCTTTATAATGAGATAAAGGGCGGATTACCAGTAGAAGGGGAAAAATTTTCTTTTATAAGTCGAGTATAATATGTTACTGGTTATTAAAAAAATGTATCTAGGCTGGTTATATCTAACTTTAGCTACGTAACTGTCTAGGAAGAAAGCGATGAGGTAATAACTGTGATTGTGGTACCTGCGGAAATGGGATGCTGTTGAAGACTCGTTACTATCCTAAAAAGCAAAATGCGGTTCCAGCTCCATAGAAATATAATTTTTTATGCTTTTCATTTCATTTTTTAGTTGGAATTTTTAAGAAAAACATATATACCAAGCTAAATTTAAAAAAATATAGGGTATGCAAGGAGATTCATTAGTTATGACCTAAAAATTATTGAATATATTATAATGATGTATGATTTATATGAATATTTTTTATTATGATATAACACAGCAAACATTTTGGTGTAATTTGACGTCGATACTACCTAAATTATATATAATAAATTTGGTCGCAAAATTAGATTTAACCATAATTAAGTAAAATTTACGTTGGCTCGACGTGGATTCGACATAAGTGGAGAATAAGACGACGTCGAAATTTGGTTTTATTTACCAAAATAGGTAGAATTACATCTAAATCCACATTGTAGTAGCCCAGTACGTTTGGTTAGTAATACCTCTCTAGGGAAATTTGACGTCAGTATAACGTTAATTCGACGTTGATTTAACTAAGTTTAGGTAGAAATTACCAAAATATTTACAGATGACGTATGACTCCAAGTGTACGATAAGAAATTTTATACTTATTTGGTATTTTTATCTATATATAAGTAGAAATATTGTAAGAAATCACCAACACAACTAAAACATATACCTAATTCACATGAAAGATTGAAAATAAATAAATGTCGGTGACAAAAATATATGTAATGTAATTGCGGTGAATATACAGTTCACGCTGGTTGAAATTAATACGAAGAAAATTTTGTCGTGCATGTTAACAGTTCTACTTAGAAAAATAACAATGCCCTTCCAAAATACTCTCTAATTAAAAAATATATAAAAAAAATATGATCGTGTAAAAAAATAATAATAATATTATGAGCTAAAACTATGTTACGTTTGTTGTGTATCACTTTAGAAAATCAATAATGTTTCGTTTTTCGGTATTTTCATTCGTATGTTTTAGTTATAATCACTTTAAAAATTTAAAATTTGGAATCGTACTTCAATTACGTTAAGAAAATATGGCGTATTGTGCGAATTCGACCTAAAAGTTATTATGACTAAGGAAATCTACGTATTTTACAAATACCTTTTTACTAAGTTGATTTAACTTCAATTTCACGACATATTAGTTAACTTTACCTATTTAAAGAAATAATAACTTATAGGTTTTATAAAAAAATTACCTATAGGTAAATATAACATATTTAGGTCACGTTGTTCTGTACTTGAGATTTTAGACGTTTCACTTTACGATAAAAATCGGAAGTATAACAATATGATTTATTATTTTTCGAACTCATTTTATTAATTATTTTTCGCACTCATTTAAAGCTCTATCTACACCACACGTAAATTAAGAATACGACTGTAATGTTTTTTTTAAAATGGCCGAAATTCTTAAGAATAATGACGAAGACAGTAACTGAACAACCTAATTGTTAAAATAACCTAAATAATATAAATTTTACAAATAGGTCATGTATGACTCTTTTTAAATTGGTGGTTTTTAGTCGAATTTACTTTGTGGTAGATTTTTCAGGTAATTGCTACAACAAAGTTAATAAATATTTCTTCAAGATGACTTATAGGTCAACTAAATGAGTATTCGACTATTTGGTTGAAATTAGGTAGATAAACAGGTAGAATTTTGGTACGATCTCGACCTAATATTACTTTAAAGGAGAGTAAATAAAAGCGGCCAAATAGGTTACTATGGAGGCATAAAATTAAGTAGAATTTTTAACCAAATCTACCTAGTTGGATATTCTACTATAAAGACGATTTTTAGTTGCTAAACAGGTAGATATTACCTAAATATGGCACCTAATTTTACTACAAAGGAAATTTAACTTTGAAGTAATTGTTGGTTATTTTTTTAGTAGTTTTTCCTTTGCTGATATGGTTAAAGTTACTTTTAAGCAGATTTGTGTAAAAGGTAGATTTCTTGGTATAATTTACGTAAATTTAAATATAAATTAAAATCATTTGGTAAATTTACATTAGAGGTATATTTTTCTAGTCAATTTTACGTAATAATTACCTCAATAAGTAAATTCGTCTTTAACAAAGTCGAGTTATAACTAATGTTATAGAAAATGTTTTCTGAGAATGTTCTTTTAAGGAAAATTTTATGTACGGATTTATCTTTTCATTTTTTTATATATATATATATATATATATATATATATATATATATATATATATATATATATATATATATATATATATATATATATTGGACGCCACTGATTAATACATCTTGATCAGACAAAAAAATGATCTATTACCGTTACATATAAGAACTTTTTTTGTATTATATATATTTTTTTATTTCAAATTTTTACCTACGGCTATGACACTTCCCGGGGTCATGGGTTCATATTTAATTCCTTTTATTGGTTAGTAATTTGTCTTCATATATTTTTTTATCAAAGTAAATTTCCCAAAGAATAAAATATTTTTCCAAAAAACAGATTCTATAATTAAGAATTCAAAAACAGATTGAAATATAATGATTTAACATATGTAACACTTTAAAAAAATATATTTTATGGATCGAAAATGGCGAAAATTACAGTTTTCTTTTTAAAAACAGATTATTTTAATACATAATTAATTACTCAAAAAAGGGATAAATACAAAAAAATCGAGCGTACAAAATAAAAACAGAATTGTAGGAAATTTAATTTTAAACAACTTTGTTTATAACAATTTTTCTCGTAAAATTGAAAATAAACGAGTTATTCTATAACCAAAAATTCACCCCCTCTTTTCGGGTATAAATCGAAAAAAATCGATCGTACAAAAAAAAAGCAGAATTGTAGGAAATTTAATTTTAAATAACTTTTGTAAAAACTATTTTCCGTGTAAAATTGAAAATAAATGAGTTATTCAAGATACAAAAAATAACCCTTTAAATCAAGCTGGCGGAGGTAACGACAACTTTGGAATCCCAACTTTTTGAATTTAGACTACCACAGACCCCCTTCAACGAATTCCGAAGGAAAATTGCTGCTTCGAATTTTTCAGAATCTCAAGCCTGTTCTTCACCTAATCCGATTGGGCTAAAAATGTTTGTAATGAAAAAAGCGTTACGTACGGCAACTTTATATGAATGTGTAGAGAAAAACGAGTAACAAGATGGCGTGTATAACATGAGCACGCGCCTTGGCCTACAATGAGACCAATATTAATATTGCCACCCCTATTGCCTCTGGATCTACTACCGCCTCCTGTAAAAGGTAGAACATCTCTTCTTAAAATAAATAATCATTTTATTAAACAAAATTATATTTTTCATTTTATTTATTGCATTTCTTGCCTTTTCGCTATTAATGTTAATAAGATCGGCAAAGATGAGAAGATTGAAATCATTATCGGAAAAAACAATGGAATATAAACAGATTTCTTATCTTCTTCTGGAAAGTATAATGATGGTAACATCGAAGGATCACTAAAAGCATCCTCAGAATTTTTAAAGGCAGCTTTAGCTAACTCTAAACTTTTATTTACATCTCCTGTCTTCAATAATTTTTCGGCTAAATCTACACTTTCCATAGCAATGATAATTTTTTCTGCAACATTATCACTAATAACAATGTTTTCAATTTCAGACAACAATTCAGCCAATGACCGTAATGTTCGTCGCGATGAATTTATCATCTCAGAAGTTATTTTCAATTTCAGTTCATTAACATTCAAAATATTTTTAATATTGAACAATTTCTGCAGCTGGGTAATAAAAGTAGATACAATTTTCTGCAAAATACCTTGCTCATTTGGATTGATGATATAGACACCACCCCATGTGGGGCTAAAAAAAGCGTTACTTGGTACTCTTCGATTTTCTTCATCAAAAATATATAAAGGTCGATCATTACAGGGTTGAAAATACAATAATAAATTTATTGTAGGTCTAGGAGAAAAATGAGACAATAATTTAGTATCTAATAATGTAATGATATGTGGTAAATGGCTTTTATTCAAACCATAATAATTGTTATATTTTGTTGGAGATATTTCTAGGTTTAAAATATATAACCATTGGGATTTAATAAAAAAATCAAAAATATACGAGATTTCGTCTAAATAGGGACGCAAATTTTCTTCAATTTCTTCTCCCCTTATCATAATCTTACAATTAGAAGGATCTGGATTAATAAAAGATATTAGCAAATCGTATTCTGAGCTTAGCGGCATTCCAAATGTTTTATTTGTGTTACTATTTACATCTATATCTCGCATTTTTGATAAAGGTAGTGTTGCTCTATATATTCTTGTTGCATTCCACCATAATGGTATCCCTATTATAATTAATATTATCAAGTATACAGACATAATGCATATTCTGTAATTTACTTCTTCAGCTTCTTCTTGTTGCGATGGATTTTTGGTTGTTTTCAATGTAAAATTACTCATTATGACAGTCTTTCTATAAATTTAAAATCTTAAAAGAAATTTAAGATGACTAATCTTTTTGGCAACATCAATATTGATTGACGTTTTAAATTAAAACAGAATTCAAATTAAGGGTTAGGTTCGGTTTGTGCTATTTCATAGCAAATTTTGATAGTAGACTTTTCATTGGCTATTCAAGCTATCCATACGTCCTCTGGTTTGAACATCTGTTTCTCTGTATCTGTAAGGTGTGGAGGGTGGGTTAACATTTAACTGATTTAATGTAGTTCCATACAGGCCTCCTCATACTAAGATTCCATACCGTAGTATAGATTCTACTAGACTGTAGTATAATGTTATTAGTAGATTCTGGTTGAGAAATTGTTTTAGAAGATAAAATTCATAAATCAGAAATCTAAATATTTTTGCTATATATATTATATGGCAGTCCCATTTTAAGTGCTGGTTGGTCTATAATTATACCTAAATATTTAAATGTTTCTGTTTCCTGTATGTCTAAATTTTGACATGTTAAGCTTCTAAATTGAGGTCGATCAGCCACTGTCTTTAAAAAAGCAATGTAGTTTGTTTTGTTAACATTCAAAGACAATTTAAAAACAGATATGTTCCATTCCAGCTATAGCACGTGTTTTGACAGCTTCCCAATCTTTATCACTGAAGACTATCACTGTATCATTAGCATATGATACAACATTACCTTTAAAATCAATCTGAATTAAGCTCTTAATGTATAAATTAAATAGTATAGGTCCCAGAACAGTCCCTTGAGGCACTCCGATTTGTATATTTTCAGGGTTACTCACATCGTCTCTGACCTTTATCTTCTGTTGTCTTTGTGTCAAATAATTTTCAAAAACCTTCAACATGATGCCTCTCACTGTTTCTGTTTCTGATGTGGCACCGTGTCAAATGCTTTTGCTAGATCTAGAAATATAGCTATACACTTGTTACCAGTATTCATTTCATCAGTAACATATGAAATCAATTCATGCATAGCATCTCCTGAGTTAAGAACCTCAGTAAAGCCATATTGGTGCTTGGGAAGTAAGTCATTAGTTTTTAAAAAATCTATCAGTCTATCTTTCACACATTTCTCAAATATTTTGGCCACATTACTAATTAAACTAATAGGTCTAACCTAACCTAACCTAACCTAACCTAACCTAACCTAACCTAACCTAACCTAACCTAACCTAACCTAACCTAACCTAACCTAACCTAACCTAACCTAACCTAACCTAACCTAACCTAACCTAACCTAACCTAACCTAACCTAACCTAACCTAACCTAACCTAACCTAACCTAACCTAACCTAACCTAACCTAACCTAACCTAACCTAACCTAACCTAACCTAACCTAACCTAACCTAACCTAACCTAACCTAACCTAACCTAACCTAACCTAACCTAACCTAACCTAACCTAAGCTAACCTAACCCAACCTAACCTAACCTAACCTAACCTAACCTAACCTAACCTAACCTAACCTAACCTAACCTAACCTAACCTAATCTAACCTAACCTAACCTAACCTAACCTAACCTAACCTAACCTAACCTAACCTAACCTAACCTAACCTAACCTAACCTAACCTAACCTAACCTAACCTAACCTAACCTAACCTAACCTAACCTAACCTAACCTAGCCTAGCCTAACCTAACATAACCTAAACACCTAATTTATGTGGTTGATAATTCAAAACATTGGTTGCAGGCTTTATTATTATTTCTTAGAACTATTTAGGAACAAACATATGTGTGAATATAAAAAAAAATTAATATCAAAATCAATTTGAAAATACATGTACAAATAGAAAATAACATACCTTCTAAAAGTAGGTAAATGTTTACAAGAGTTGATGGTCCCTGAACACAATTAATCTGAGGTTTTCCTCCTTTTCATTATTATGAGGGTTTTAATTTATTTTTGGTCATAATAAAAATTTAAACATAAGTTATCAAAGAGGAAAATACATATAGAACTTCATACGCTCATCAAACATTATCAAAAATTATTTATGGTAAATCTTCAAACAATAATTATTTTCTTAAACAAATTTCTTGTTTTTGTTTTGCAAAAGAATTTCACTATGGAAATCAGGTAATTGGTTAGTAACATTTTTATATTTTGGGTCTTTAACACCCTTTTTAAATTACCACAAGCCTCCACTGTATAAGTGAAACAAAAAGGATGAAAAAATAGAAAATTGTAAATATTAATTTAATCAATCAAAATTTTATTGATTACAGACGCTGAATATCCTCACTGACATTTTTACCATTGCCATCTGTCATGGGATTATTACCATTTAGTAAGTTTCTATATCAATGGAAAAAATCAAAACTGTATACACTTTGGACCGTAAGGGAAACAACTGAAAGTCGTTCAGGAACATTTCGGATTAAGGGATTTTGTGGCTAATAGGGTGTGCCCTATTTTATTATTTTTTTTTTCCTTATAAATCCGCCCATTGTCTGACGCAGCTTGGTGGATAACAAGCAGAAAGCAGAAATACTGTAAACATTGTACAGGGCGTAACGAAGATACATTCTTTATAGTATTTTTTTAGGTATTATTAATATTTCAAAATAGGTAAAAATAGTTATGGTGTGGACCCTCATAAAGGTCCAGACAAAGAAAATTCAACTGGCAATCTATGCTCATTTTGGGTGTTAAATATAAAAGAAATCAAATTATAATGTTAGAAAAATATAAATTAATTATTATTAGTTTATACTTTACCTACTCTACTATTTAAATCTTATCAAACGGAATACTTTAACTTTCTATTACTCCGTGTCTCATTACTATTAATCTACATATTCAATTTATTGAAATATCAACAATTTTATTAAACCAACGTACTTGTTTATGTCACCGAAACGTTTTTCTTGGTAACATTTGATTAATGTTGAATTGTATTTCCTTTCCAGTATAAATCAAAAGCATATGACGGTCGGTATAGTGTTGTCAGTGCGAACAACTTAATTTATGTTTATTTGATGAAAATAGACATAAGAAAACCTCTCATCGAGTTTTATTATATTATTTTTTATAGCCAACGTAGCACGAATATTTCCAGAGGCGTGTAAAAACGTTTTTATAGATTACAAAAGAAATTATCGATAAATATTCTTAGTAAGAAGGATTAGTGAATTTAGAGAAACCTTTTGTAGTGTTATAACTAAAAGAAAAATAATTACTTTAATACATTATTTTGGTCAATAGTGGCACAAGTAAAAATATTTATTAATAATTATGGAATATAACGACATAAATCAAAATAAAACATCGAAATAACTCTACTTTCTAAACAAAACTGACATATCTAAAAATAGTAAGTTACTTATAATATATAAATAATTTGTTAAGTTACTTATTTTTAGAGGAAACTGACGTAACTCTAAATGTGACGGTTTTTCTCAAATAAACCCTAATTGAAATGTCAATATTTTTCGAAATGTGATAGTTTTGAACAAATAATAATCTGCACTACTTAAAATGATTAGAAAACAGCTGAATATGGAACAGGATGAGGAAAGTAATTTAGTACCATTCCAATTAACGGGATGCCGTGCTTGTCAAAACGACAGTCATCAGAATCAGTTGTAAGCTCGTGAAAAACTTCAAAATTCAAGAATCAATGATGGTCGACTGCTGTTGCAGCAGTTGAAGGTGCCTTGTATTTTATTTTGACTACCTTCTAAATTTAAGCATCTTTTTTAACGAATAGCAATTGAGCACTCACAGATATTGGTAGAGTCTCTTCGCTATACTTACGCGGGTTTCAGATTAAAAATTTTGTGAGTATTTCCATTTAATGCTAGTTACAGTTATTTACAATATGTAGATTTCAGTTATTACCCAGTGTTACTTTTTATATTTAGTTAACTGTAGATTTTTCTCCCAGAGTTACCGCTCTAAACCTTTTTCATTTTGGTTATTACATATTTTTTATAAAGACTGATTTTCAGCTTTTATCTGCAACATAAAAAACGAACAGTAGGTATCTGAAAACCTCTAAAATTCCCTTTGTTCCACCCTTGCTTGTATCTTCATCTTATAATAAACGCGTGTTGCGACCAGATGCGAACACAGTCAAATATATATTTCACAGTAATGACTTCCTGTGGAGAGACAATTATATACCTTGGACATAAAAAGTCGACTTTCAAATAGGTACCATGATGAAGCACATCGCAGCCTTCGTAATTGTGCGAAAAGGTTTTCGTATATGTAGGGAAGATATGCACAGTCATAAAAAGGTTACATACCTTCAGTTATGAATAAAGCTATTGAGTTGAAAGCGGCGATGATGGAAATGTTATGTCATATTCATTTTGTAGGTAGAAGCTGTGTGACAGTCACTGTATGAACTTTTATTTAAAAATAATTTCTGTAGACTAGAAAAATATTCCTGTATTTTTTTTATAAAAACTAGATTATGATAAATACTGTGTTTGTTTTAACTTAAAATACATGCAATTTAATTAAACTATTAAACATGTATTTTTATTGGCAACAATACCAAATAACCAAAGCTCAAAAATATCCCTCTAAAAACTAATGCACTTATATTCGGTATATTTAATCCCTCAATCGTAATGGCGGTCTTTGGGATTCGCTCTTGTGAAAAACGAGTCACCCATTTGCATCTATAATACCTCAGGGGTTTTTACCAACATAAGCTACTTAGTGGTACATTTCAATTCGATCCCCTTTTTTGTCCCATGTCGATAACACTTCTATCAAGTCTCGTAGAAAGCATGGAATATTATTTAGTATACTGGGTGTTCTAGAGGTATCCTTGCAACAATGTTAATATGACAAAAAAATAAATGTCTATGATAGATATCTCAAAATGTTAGTAATTTTTTATTATAATTTTTTAACAGTATCTAATTCACAAAATAAGGCTTAAAGATTATTGATTTGTAATGTTTTTCAATTATCGTCAATATAATTTTGAATAAAATTACTCATTTAGCATCTGTGATTGAATTGTAATAGTTGTGAAAAATTAAAAATGTTACATTTAAATATTTTTTGTTGTATATTCTCGTATCTTCATTCTGCTTCACTCTGTATAATAAGGACTAAATAATCTTCTAATAATTATTAAGAAT